ACGGTAAATAGTGCTCTATCTAGGCCGTTTAGTCCGGTATGTCTACGCGCCACCTCTTTTTCCTTCATGGAAAGCATTGACGGTAAATAGTGCTCCATCCAGGCCGTTTGGTCCGGTGTGTCTACGAAAGCATTGACGGTACCTTTTCAGCGTCTCTTAGCCTGGCGGACTCTCCTCTGAGTACCTTTTCAGCGTCTCTTAGCCCCGCGAACTCTCGTCTGAGTACCTTTTCAGCGTCTCTTAGCCTCGCGAACTCTCGTCTGAGTACCTTTTCAGCGTCTCTTAGCCTCGCGAACTCTCGCCTGAGTACCTTTTCAGCGTCTCTTAGCCTCGCGAACTCTCGTCTGAGTACCTTTTCAGCGTCTCTTAGCCTCGCGAATTCTCGTAGCGCCTTTACTTTTAAGGTCGCGGTAATGTCGAACTTGATTTTACGGAGAGTATGATATTTCTTCTCTGTGGATACTAAGGTAGATGTAAAATGGATCCGTTAACTAAGATAACGGTTGGATCCATTCTATATCTACCTTAGTATTTAACCCTAGGGCTTAATATTCGAGTATGATCTCCTGGAATACTTCGTATGTGAACCGGCTCGAATGAATCTTCTTTCGAATCTCGTTTAGTTTTCGAAGGTTATACGTTACCCCTGCTTCTTTTTAGCGATCTTATTGTTATTGACTGCCTACTTCTTCATGGCGTAGTAGTGTTTAGGCTTATCTAGTTTCGATACCTTATAATGAAAGGGCTGTAGCCTTCGGTCCCCCGGTTTAAGGTATATACCCTCGAATATACTATACGGGATTTCATGGAGGCGCGTAACCGTTATCGACGTATAGATCGCTCTCTACGCTAATACCATTAACTCGCCTATATTACGGAAAGGGAGGTTCGGGGCGACGTTATAGGCTCTGAGTAACGCCTTAGCGTAGCGAGTCTGAGGTTCCTATACCCCTCCTCTTAAGCGTAAGGGCCTAAGCCCTAAGTAACGCCTCAGCGTAGCGAGTCTGAGGTTCCTACACCTCCTCCTCTTGAGCGCGAGGGTATGGGCTCTAAGTAACGCCTTAGCGTAGCGAGTCTAAGGTTCCTACACCTCCTCCTCTTGAGCGCGAGGGCCTAGGTAAGTATTTCGACGAGCGATAGTGATAGGGACACCCGGGGATTTCCTAGTGTATGTGATAGAGGTATCTAAATCTCTTTAGACGGTTTAATAATGGGCGCGTAAATGCGAAAATAGGTGTCGACTTAGTTTTCTCGGAGGGCGAGGAAGTTACGGCATGTTAATTTTTACTGGTATACTTTCTCTCCGTACGGCTATAGCTACGTCTATTCGCGCTGTTCGGTTTTCTCTTTTAGGTAGGTTTCTTAGGTATCTCGTTAAGGTTAGGGAGGGTAGTAAGTTCTCCTAATCTTTTTTATTAGTTTATCTAAGTATTAAAGTTAAGTATAGTTACCGTATATATCTCGGTATGTACTTAGTATAGTATTGATATTGTAGGTTTAGTATCGCGGAGCGTTCATTATTCGAATACCTAGATATCCTGCGTTTACCTATATACTCATTCATTTTGTTAAAGAGATTAGGGTGTAGAATGGATCCATTCTATAGCTAGGGTTGATAATGCTGTATAATATATCGAGTCCGCTGTTCGAATGTAGATCGAGTACGGGAGGGTGCGTGGTAAATGAAATGGGGAGCTACCTAGAGCGCGCTTAGAGGGGGTTACGCTGTAAATAAACTAATGGGTGAATTATCACGCTGTAAGCGGACTAATGGATGAATTGTCACGCTGTAAGCGAACCAATGGGTGAATTATCACGCTGTAAGCGGACCAATAGATGAATTGTCACGCTGTAAGCGAACCAATGGATGAATTGTCACGCTGGCTAGACTAGGCTACTTTAGTATTTAGTGC